ATAAGCATCACCACTACCCACTTTAAGACCTATTTGTCCTCCCAAACAGAAATTCTGTACCCCTGAGGCGGTAACTTCCCTTCCCCCCACCCCCCCCTTGCCCCGGCCCCTGGCCATCACCGTTTTCCTTTCTGTCTCTATGAATCTGCCTATTCCAGGTACTTCATATAAGTGGAATATTTGTCTTTTCATGTCTGGGTTATTTTACCTGGCCTAACGATCTCAAGTTTCGCCCATGTTGTAGCAAGTATCAGAATTTCATTTTCTGTTTATGGCTGAATATTATTATTACACGATGGGATTTTGACTTTCTCCTGGTAGCGTTGGCATGCTGGGGGAGGGTCTCACGCAGAACGACAGAGCGGCACCTGCTGTTTAGGGTCCTCCCCAGTCCACGTGTGAGAGGACGGGGAGAAGGGTGGGGGCATGCAGGAGTCTGTGACAATAGTTTAGAATAGAATTATGACCCTTCCAGCCTGGCGTAGCCTCACCATCCCCAAGAAGCTGCTCTACCCCTCAGAAACCCCGACGGCTCTTTCTGTCTTCTGAGTATCAACGGCTGAGTCACACAATCTCTGCTATCTGCTAACTCTTTGGCTAGTGAGGACTATGCCCTAAAGTACTCCAGTACCCCCAGGCCTGGCCCCCAGTTTTTCCTTCCTCTGTCACCCTCAGTGGACACTGGAGTTGGGGCTCAGGAAGAAAAGTCATCCTAGGTATCTATGGTGGGAGTGGTGCTGGGGGGGTGGGGAGAGTCAGGGTCTCCTGCCACCTGCCGTCCCCTTCTCCCAGCTCTCCGACTGGATCAGGCTGCCTCCCACCAGCCACACCCCACCCCGTAACATCCCCGGCAGCTTTCATCTCCAGAGCTGGAGTTGAAGGAGACAGAACTAGCCCCAGGGGGTGTCGATAACAGGGTTGTAATCCGGCGGGATGAGACTGAGCTCTCTGGAGTCTCATAGCATTTTTCCAACCCTGGCCACTTTATTATCATATCACTGAGTGATGGGGCTCAGGGGAGCTGTGGTTCCAGCAGCCGGAGCGGCTGCCCCTTGCGATCCATCAAGCTACCACTGGGCTGAGCAAATTCATGCCGCTTCCTGCCCCTGTGTCTGGGCTCCTCCCGCCCCCTCCTCACTCTTCTCCTCCTCAGGCTTCCCCCCTAGGCAGTGGAGATTCGGGCCCCCATTGCTGCTGCGTGGGTCTCTGTGGAAGCTGTGCTGACCCTGGGGACTGCTTATCCTCATTGTGTGACCTTGGGCCTCGGTTTCCTCCTCAGAGCAACAAGAGGGTTGTGCCCGTTGTGCCCTTAGGTTCTTTTCAGCTGTGACAACTCGGTGACTTACGATTGTTTGAAGACTTCAAAGCAGATTGCATTGCATTTTCTTTCAAGATCATGACAGTGTGAAGGAATTGGGGGGGGGGGGACAGAAGCAGCCATAGCATGCTGCCAGGCAACGAGGGCATCATTCTTTCTTCCCCAGGGAAACACGTTACTAGCCCCAGGCCAGTGGGCTGGTGACTGTCCTCAAGGCTGCTTTAGAGTCGAAACCATTAGGTCAGACCTTGTGGGTACATCAGATGCCATCCTGACGCAACAAATGGGGAGAAGCCCACCCAGAGAGGGAGGGACAGAGCGGGCCCGGCAGAGAACCCAGATGCCACCTCCAGTCCCTGCTCTAGCCGTGCTCGTCTCAGATGGCTGGATGTCCGCCATGTTCTAGAAGTTCTCTGGGGGTGGGCATTTCCCAGATGAGGGAATTTACCAGTCCAGGCTTTTATGGCCATAGTATTGGGCCAAGTCATTCTAGTGGCAGGTTGTCAAGTAGGCAATATTAATTGAAGAATGGCTTGAGGCACTTGGGTGGCTCAGTCCTTTAAGCATCTGGCTTCAGCTCAGGTCATGATCACACAGTTTGTGAGTTTGAGCCCTGCATGGGGCTCTCTGCTGTCAGCACCAAGCCCGCTCGGGAGCCTCTGTCCTCCTCTCTTTCTGCCCCTACCCTGCTTGCTCTCTCTCTCTTTCTCAAAAATAAATAAACATTAAAAAAAAAACCACACAACAGGGGCGCCTGGGTGGCTCAGTCGGTTAAGTGTCTGACTTTGGCTCAGGTCATGCTCTCAAAGCTTGTGAATTCAAACCCCACGTCAGGCTCTGTGCTGACAGCTCAGAGCCTGGAGCCTGCTTTGAATTCTGTGTCTCCCTGCCCCTCCACCACTTGCTGTCTCTTTCTTTCAAAAAAATAAATACAAACATGCACACACACACACACACACACACACACACACACACAAGAATGGCTGGGCCTCACTTTAAACGGATCCAGAGAACAATGGTTTTTTTCACAAAAACTTTCCTTCTGTTCACCTGGAAAGGGCCGTCTCTGGTCTTGTAAGCCAAGCCCTCCCACCTGACTGCCTGCAAAGGTGAGCTTCAAATGTGCTGAAGACAGCACTGTGGTGAGTGGGCCACTCTCCTGATTCTGAGATCCATCATACCCCCAGGGGGGCGTGCAGGGTGTCTCCCAGGGATGCTGGGGTTTTCTCACTTCTGGCATCTCCAGTGAGGTCATGTATTGGTCAGAATAGGTCCCAGGAAGGAGACTTGAGGGAAAGATACTTTATAACTCCCCTGAAGCTTGAAGGTGACCAGGGGAGATATGGGAAAAGCTGGGGTAGGGGACAGAGACACGGGTTCTTTTTCCAGCTGTGTCATTAACCACTGCATGACGGTGGGCGAGTCTCTGCTCCTGTGCCCCACGGTGACAGTCCCACCCTCCCTACTTCACTGGGTATTGAGAGGATAAAAATGAGGTAGGAATCCTAAAAGTATTTGACAGACTTCTATGCCCAGCTCCCTGGTCAAAACATTCAGGCCTGTATCTAAAGACCATCATCAAACCTCCAGGAAAAAATTCCCCCCAAAACTATAACTTTCAAAAGTAGGCAAAGTTAGAATGAAAATTTTTATAGCAGGTAAAGATGCAATTCTGCAGGGTGGACGTGATCCATGAAATAACTTGACTGCTGTATCTCTCTGTTTCTTTTCATTTCCTATTTAAAAATTTTTTAAAAAGTTTATTTATTTTGAGAGAGAGAGAGAGAGAGAGAGAGAGAGAGCAAGCAGAGGAAGTGCAGACAGAGGAGAGAGAATCCCAAGCAGGCTCTGCACTGCCAGTGCAGAGCCCAACGTGGGGCTTGAACCCATGAACCATGAGATCATGATCTGAACTGAAATCAAGAGTCAGATGTTTGACTGACTAAGCCACCCAGGCATCCCTCATTTCCTATGTGAAATAATTCCGATCTTTACTGTTTTCTTCTACTTTCTTTGGGCTTATTATTCTTTTATTCATCCCTCCTCCTTTTCTTAAATTCAAATTCTATGTAGTTAACACACAGTGTAATATTAGTTTCAGGTGTACAGGATAGTGCACTTCCATACAATACCTGGTGCTCATCACAACCAGTGAACTCCTTAATCCCTGTCACTGATTTCACCCAACCCCCCCCCCCCCTTGTGGCAACCACCGGTCATTTTTTCCCTTTTTGAGTTAAACAATTCAGAGTGCTCATTTAAAATTTTTCTATATTTTAACGAATTCATTTAAGGCTATACATTTACTTCTGAATGTTGCTTTAGCTGCATCTCGCAAGCTATTAAGTTGTATTTATAATGGATGGTTACCCTTACATTTTATTTATTTATTTTTATTGTTTGTATTTTTTAAGTTATATTGTTTTAAAGTTATATTGTTCTTATTTATAAAGTTAGCATTAGACATTATTTATTTATTTTTGAGGGAGAGGAAGAAAGAGAGCGTGATCAAGGGAGGGGCAGAGAGGCAGGGAGAGAGAGAGAACCCTAGGTGGGCTCCATGTTGTCAGCCCAGAGCCCTATGTGGAGCTCGAACTCATGAACTGTGGGATCATGACCCGAGCCGAGATCAAGAGTTGGATGCTTAACTGAGTCACCCAAGTGCCCCTATTTATTTATTTTTAAACATTTTTAATATTTTAATATTAAATTAAGTATTTTAATATTTTAAATATTTGATATTTTTAATATTTTATTTTTAGGTAATCTCTACACCCAAAGTGGGGCTTGAACCCACACCCCCAAGATCAAGAGTCTCACACTCCACTGATTGAGCCGGCCAGGCATCCCTACTCTTACATTTTATTTTATTTTTTTAATGTTTATTTTTGAGAGAGAGAGACAGCACACATGCACAAGTGAGGGAGGGGCAGAGAGGGATACAGAGTTGGCTTTGTACTGACAGCAGACAGCCTGATGCTGCTCGAACTCACAAACTGGAGAGCCAAAACCTGAGCCAAAGTTGGACGCTTAACAGACTGAGACCACCCAGGTGTCCCCCACTCTTACATTTTAATATATATATTTGCTTATAAGTTTTTCTAACAAAGTTCAAGGCTATTCAGTATCTTTATTGTCCATCCGGACAAGTAAGGAATTTTTAAAATTGTCTTAAATCTATGCCCTTTTTGAAAAATATAATTGCAGTTATTATTGTGATTATTACTATTATTTTATGGCCAATAGCTCAGTTTTACATATATGTGTGTGTTTATATATGTGTATATGTGTATGCGTGTGTATGTATACATATATGTATATAGTGTGTGTGTGTGTATATATATATATATATATATTGTGTGTGCGTATACATATATTTCTTTCTTTTTTCTTTCTTTCTTTTTTTTTTACCAATTTTCTGCACTCATTCTTGTTTCTTATATCCACTCCTTCCCTTAGGTTCACTTTACATTTTGCTGAAGTCAATATATATATATATATATATATATATATATATATACCTGGTTCTATATTTTTGACTATCGCTTCTTTTCTATTTCTTGATTCTCTTTTGGAATTCCTATTAGGTGCTTATTAGAACCTCTCAATTCTTCTTACCCTCTATTCTTCTTGATGGATCTTTTATATCTTTGCCTTTTGAAGCATGGTCTATATAAATTTCTTCCAGTGACAATATTATTTCATTCCTAAAATTTCCAGTGGGTTATTTTTTCATGTCTATCTATTCTTGTTACATTTATGCTTACTTTTGTTTCTTATGTTCTTGCTTCTCTTGGCAGATACCAACTTTCCTTTTTTTTTTTTTTTTTGGAGTTCTAAATGGGCTTAGGGCAAATCGTTTTGAGATTATTACCTATTTTGTCCTTGATAAGTTCTGTTGATTTAACCTCAGTATCTTCTTTACATTTTTGAAATTGTGCTCTGCAAGCTCATCTTGATGGTTTTTTTTTCTCTTTTTGTCCCTCCAACTATTGGTTTTACCATTCCTCCCTTAGTCCCATTGAAGTCTCCAGTGCAAAACCAAGTCTTACAATTTTTTTTATTATTGTCTAAAATTTTGGTTTTATTCTTTCTAAAAATACTCCACTCAGGGCTCTTAACCCTTGGTGACTTTGTAGGCATTGCAAATCTAGTCCCTGAGCCAGCATGTGGCTTTGCTGGGCCAGTTTCCTCTGGCCTCCCTTTTTATTCATTTTTTTTTTCTTGAAAAAGTTTTCTCCGTCACTGTTGTAGGTTTGCAGGCATGTGGAGGGGGTTAGTGGTAGGTCCACAAGGTGTGGATTTGAGAACCATCCTGACTGACGATGTGAGGTTTGACACAAAACAACAGAATGGTTCAGAGTAATAAATAGTTTTTTCTGTTTTTTTGTTTTTTTTTTTGCGGTTCCATCTTTACAGTTTGCCAGACTGTTTTCTTATATATCTTCATAATCTTTGCAAACTAAGCTGCAAGACAGAGGCTGTTATTATCTTCATTTTCCAGAGGTGGTGGCTGAGGCCCAGCCACTAAGGCAGTGCTTCTTAAAATGTAATGTGCACACGAATCACCAGGGATCTTATTAAAACACAGATTCGGGTTCAGGTGATCTGGGGGTGGGGTCCAAGATTCTGGTTTCTAACAGGTGACGTCGACGCCGCTGGCCTGAGGATCTCAATCGAGCAGGGAGGTGCCAGGGAGCTTGGCCAAATCACTCATGTCCTAAGTGACTGAATGGGAGCCTGTATCTGTCTGACTCCAAAGCCTGTTCTCTATGTCTGCTGTTCCCACTGAGAATCCGGCAATCCAACCACTTACTTTATAGGAACCAGAGTTGGAGGCTTCAGTTGGAGGGAGAGGAAGCTTTGCTTAGGGGAGGGGCTGCTTTCTTCAGCCCCAACTCCTTTCTCAAGGTTTAATGAGGAAGAAAGAGATGGAGAGGGATTGTCTTGGGGGTAGGAAGCACCACAGCCGGGCAGCTGTCAGTGGGTCTGTTGGAAAAATTAATTTTTTAATTAAAAACATCTTTTTCTCCCTCTCTTCTTTCCCCTTTGCTTTAATGTCTCAGTCTGGAGTAATTATGAGTCGCTCTGGGGAGACTGAACCTTAGAAAAATTGTTGGTGTGACTGGCGAGGAATTTATCTGATTAACTTGAGCTCAGCCTTTGAAAAAAAAAAAAGCAAAAGGGAAGTAAAAAAGGAAAGAAAAAAAAAGGGAGGAGGGAAGCACCAGCTCCCAATTCTCCTTCTGGCACAAAACTTAATCACAGCGTCTGGGAGGCCAGGTGGACCCTGGACTAGCTCCCTTAGGCAAGATGAGCAGAGAGGATCGGTGCTCATTTCTGGTATTCCCTTCTCAGAGCTCCCCGCAACCCCCCCTGCCCAAGCTCGGCCCCCACCTGCCCCCCAAGCTTCTCCCCCAGCCCTGGGATGTGTAGGTCTGACTGGCCCAGCATGGGAGGTGATATCTTAGGGTTCTTGAGAAGCAGCCAGAAAAGGAGGCCTGAGCGTTAGAGATTTATTAAATGAGTGATCTCCACAAAGGAGTGAGGGTGGCTGGATAGGAGGGGGAGGAAGCTAGGCAAGGACTGGGGGTCTGCTCACAGCCCGTCCCAGCGGGGAGCTCTCTAAGCTCTCCACTTTGGAGCTGGAGGAGCAAGGAGCGAGGGAAGGGGTATCTGTCAGCCATAGGCTGTGGGCATAACCCCCAGTCAGCACCCTTCCCCTTCGCTGTGGGCAGCTGTGAGCTGTTAGCAGCCAGCACTCACAGCATCTGGGGGACAAATGCAGTGGCCAGGTAAAAGGGATCTGGGTGGGGCACCAAGAGCACCTACTGCAGCTGGACTGGAGGGGGAGCCCGATAGGAGTGGGGAAGAATGGATGGATTTACGGTCATTTAGGAGGTAGAGTTGACAGAACTTGGTGGTTGAATGAGTGGGTGACGAGCGTGAGTTGACAGGGGACTTCCAGGCTCCCGGTTTGGGTGACGGGGTACCAGACGCTAAGATAGGCACCCACAAGAAGGGTAGACCTGGTGCCGAAGGGAGAGTGATTTGTTATCTGGACATGGTGGACATTCAGATGGAGATGTTGAGCAGGCAGCTGGGTGTGCCAGGTTGAAGCAGAGGTGTGGGCGCTCTCTGTGTGGAGATGGAAGAGGGTGGGTGGGTCGGTGTGGGTGGGCCGCGGGGAGAGAAAATGCCAGGCACAGAGCCTTGGGAGTCCCCCACAATCGGGGCCGGCAGAGGACAGGAGGTACAGCCAAAGAAGCAGGAGGAAAACCAAGGGAGTGGAATCCCTGATGCTACCTTTCCTGTCCTCTGTCTGTCTCAATCATTTGTCCCCTCCGTCAGTACATCTTTGTGGGAAGAGGCAGCCATGAGGAGTCTTGATAGACTGATTCCCTTGTGGGACCGGTGCCTGTCTTGATTTGTGGTTGTGGTCTGAGCACCTTTCACACTCCCTGGAGCATAGTAGGTACTCAGGGGAAAAACCACCAGCTGAAGAACCACCAGCTAACACTCATGTGGCACACATCATGCACGAGGCGCTCTATAGAAACTTACTTACCTCTGAGGAAGGCACCATTACTATCCTTATCACACAGATGAAGACGCAGAGGCACAAAGAGGTTAAGTAGCTCGCCCAAGGTCATACGGATGGTAAGCGGCATCCCAGTATCCACGCTCTTAGCTCCCGTGCTAGTGACTGAGATTTGAGGCCAGTCTGTTTAAGAGCAGGGCACATCACTGCTTCACGAAGCATATGCACACATAGTCGCGTGCACATGCAGCCATGTTTGCATGCATGCAGCACCAGGGAGACACTTCTTGTCTGCTGCAGGATAGGATAGTCCACGGCCTTGGGGAGGGGGCACTTGTGTAGCCCTCTTGTCACATTGGCTCGGCCAATGCTACTTCAGATATAAGTCACTAGTCCCCGAGGACAGAGGGTTCTTGGGGGCTGGGCTAGTAGGGGGCAGGTGGAAAGCTCCGGTGTCAGGCAGGACACAAGTCCCTGAGCGTCTTTCGGCCTCAGTTTCCTCCTATGCAAAATGCGACTAGTTATACTTCTTTCCCAAGATATTTGTGAGAATTAGGAGTGCTGCATGGTGTCTGGCACACAGAGGGTACTCCTCAAATGGTGCCACATTGCATGGAGAGGTTCTTACACCCTCATCTTCTCTTTGTCTGGTATTGGAAATTGTAAATATCGCCTGCCGTAAATGGGTGTCTTGGGGCTCATAACTGCAGGCATGCCATCCGTGGAGCCGTCCAGGCGGCTGCCAAGGGGCGAGCAGGGGCTGAGGGGAGAGGCTCAGAGCTCCGAGCGTCCGGGTCTGTGCAGGGGCATCAGAGCTGGCAGTCTTTAGGCAGCCCCAGCCATGACGACCACTAGGGAGACCGCAAAGGTGACAGTGAGGACTCCTGCTGGGGCCCACCGTCAGCTCGGCTGCCCTGAGCACCCAGAGCCAGCACATTCCCAGCTCAAAGGGAAGCCATTCACATTACAGTCTATGGAGTTGGGCTCCAGAGGGGCAGCGCTGACGCGGCAAACAAGGTGATTAATGTCCCTGGAGGCGTGCAGCTGCGGCTTGAGAGCTTCAGGGTAGCAGTCTCACTGCTCCATAACTGTTGGGAAGACCTATAAAGTGGACAGCCCCTTGCCTGGATCTGCCTGCGGCATGGCACTGAGGCCAGGGCAAAAGCTGTCCTAGCCCTGCTTGGGACTACTGCCCTATTGGCACCCAGGCATCTAAGTAGTAGCCCTGAGCACACCATACCTGAAACCCTGACTTAACACATCTTCTGTCCCGGCTGCAGTCTGGGAGCTCTCAAGGGCAGGGCTTGGCCCTCTGCTCTCCCTTCTCTCCTACCAAGCACAGGGCTGGGCACATGGAAAATAGAAATCATGCTAGAGGCAAACTATGAGATTAAAATACCAAAGTCTTTCCTCTACTGAAGAGACATTTCCTTCTCAGCCTCCAGCTGTGCCCTGGGCCCTGCCTGGGTGGTGAAGACTTGAGAATGGAGCAGATTGACCCTGCCGTGGAAGGGTCACAGCTTTGTGGGGGGACAGACATGTAAACACTGAGACTCCAGTGCAGCCAGAGCTATGAGAGATGGCATGCAGGAAGCCATGGGAGTACCAGGATGGAGAGAGGGGGCATCTGAGAAGGTTTCCTGGACAAGGTGATCCCTGAGTTGAAAACTGAAGGATGGATGGGGGTTTGCCTGGCAGAGTGGAAGGAAGGCATAACAGGTACTCATGCAAAGGCATAGTGGTGCATAAGGGCCAGGCCTCATGAAGGATCTGCAGGCTTGTCTGGGGGCAGAGGGAAGAGCGGGGGGCAGACCAGGTGTCAGGAGAACAGGGTCCCAGTTCTTCCCTCCCCTTCTCTTCCTTGCTTCCTCTGGGCCCCAGTTTCCTCATCTGTGTAATGGGAACTGAGCTACTTCATCCCCAAAGCCCATTCAGCTTGGAAACTTTCAGACAACCTTCCAGGAACTTGTCTGGGTATACAGGAGCTGGGACCCTCTGGGGAATGCTTATAGGTTTGTTCTGGTTAATCCAGGCTTAACTCTCTGGGTACCAAAAATATTTACTCTATTACAAGTATTTCTGCCTCTTCATAAGCTAAGTTGGGCCCCTCTGCCTGGGAACACCAAGGTTGGGATCTGCTGGGACGGCTGAAACTCCACCGGGAGTGGTCCTCTTTGGCTTGCCTGGGCGAGGGGGGCAACTTTGAGCTTCGGAAGGGAGTTCATCCAAGTACTACTATCTCCCTTTACAGGGACTGCTACCTCGCGGTCGCTCTTTCTTCCCTTTATAAACATCGCCAGCCAATCAGCTCACGCCTTCCCCCCCTCTGAGCTGGAACTGACCAATCACACTTGATTTAGTTACGCCATTGCTAGTTGCTGAAGGCTACCTCCCCACCGCAGAAGGGTTTGGGTTTTAAAAGTCCAATCCTGGGTCTGGAGCTCATCCAGGAGGTTGGGTGCGGGGAGGGGGGTTGGGGGGGGGGCGGGAGATGGATTTAGGATTTCCTGAGAGCAGTGTCCAGTTGGTTCTGCCTACCATCAGAACTCCTGCAACTCAGGAGGACGGAGCACTCTGCCCAGGGCAGTCCTGGAGAACTTCCAGGAGGGGGCGCCGAAGGAAGGGTTTTCAGACTCAGCTTTGGCGTCCTTTTCTCCGGAAGGGGTGCCCTCTTCTGTCCCCTGCTGGCAGTCTCAGCACTCCCGTCCTGGCAGCGTTGGGACACCTCCCTGCCCCTCTGCCAGTCCTGGCACTGTCCTGATCCTTACGAGCCACCCTGCTCTAGGACCCCTTTCTTCTCTCCTCACACATACTCAGGGTCATGCAGAGTGTTGGGAGTCAGTATTACCCGTCCTCCCACCACGCCCCCCCCTCCCCCCAGTAATGGTCCAGATGCTCCTGTCTGGCTCCATAGGCTAGGGTTGGAAGGGACCCCCAAAATATGACATGGGGAATTCAGAGAAAAGGGGAGGCGGGGAGCATTGTGTGAACAAAGGCTTGGGATGTGTATGAGAATGTATCCATGTATATCTGCCTGTATACCCACCATGTGCGCATATGCTGGTGCTTCCATGAACATGCCTTGAGCACACATGTGCATGTGTGTTAAATGCCAAGAAAGGATATTGGTTGGTGCCTCCTTGTCTTGGACTTGTAGATTTTCTCACCTCCCTGCAGTCTTCCCATGAGAAGCCTGGTGTCTTGGGTCCTGGGCTCTAGTTCCCTGCACACTCAGGCCCCTGAGCCCTATCCCCATCCAGTCCCCGCACCATCCAATGCAGCGACTTCTTGATGAAAATATTGATGAGATTAACACACAGCAGAGCCAGCATCACCTCAAAGTGAAGAAAATCCAACTCAATCCGTCAGAGTTCCCACTATCAGGGCTGCTGGCAGCCCACAGGCCACCTAGTTTTACTTCTTCTGGGCCCTAGGTGGAGGGTGCTGCTCCCACAAAAGATGTCAATCAAAAGGGCCCAGAGAGGATAGAGGGGTGAATAAAATCAGTGCCCCCCTCTGCCCCAGGCTCTTGGGCCTTGTTCCTCTGAGCAGCCTCGGATCCTCCTCTGTGCTCAGGCTAGTCCCTTCTGGGTGGAGCCAGGTTTCTTCTCATAGAAGGGCCTGCTGTGTTATCTGGGTATATTGAGGGGTCAGTTCACTGACCTGGGGCAGGAGGAGGAGGCCTGGCCTGAGGTCAGGGCCTGGCCTCACCAAAGACTCTGTCCTCTCTGAGCCTCAGTTTCTGCATCTATAAAAAGGGACTCCTGATCCCTGAGGCTCAGATGAGGGAAGATGCGCAGGGTCTCTGTGACCTGTGAATTGCTGGGTCCACATTGGGAGCATATCTAAGGGCATAAGCCAGAGATGGCAAATGTTTGGTCCATGGACTGCTTTTGAAAAATTGAACATTTAAAAAACGGACAGTTTCTGAGCAAAGACTGGCTTTTGGCTTCTCTTGAAAAATCAGCAGGCCTATTTCTGGTTACCTGACCCCTGGGTGAAGTGACCCCTGGCCCTTTCAGAAAAGGCTGACATTTCAGATGGGGTCTTCCCCAGTGACCCAGACAAATGAGTGGCCTCTATTCAGGTAGGGGAGGAGGGCACAGCTGCCTCCTGGACCCCTCAGTGCACACCTCCTCTCTGTTCCCTGCCCCTCAGCCCAGCTGTGCTCTGGGAGCCTGATTTTCTGCCAGGCAGGGAGCAAGGAAGAAGTTGAGCCTTGGTTGTGACTGCTTTTCATCCTCCTCCATTGCCTTGACCATTGCCCACATGGCATATCCTTTCAAGACCCAGGGAGCCAGCTGGGAAGGTTCTTCCAGAGCAGGTGTAAGCTAGTCCAGATATTCATTTCCTCCTTACTCCCTCAGTGAGACTCCCTTGTACTCAGGCAAAGGTTTGTGCTGTGGCCAGCCCTGTGGGATCAACCATTTGAGGCAGGGCCAGGAGAGCCACTCTCATCAGACTGGAAAAGGGAGTTCTTGATCCACCTGTCTTCAGCTATGTGACCTTGGGAAAATAACTTAACCTCTCTGGGCTAAGTTTCCTCACCTGTAAAATACCTACTTCCATGGGCTGTCACAAGGATCCAATGGGATTAAGTGTAAGATAATTTCCTGACACAGGTCAGGCACACAGGAAGTACTTAATAAGTGTTTGCTGAAAGGAGGAGTTGAGGGTCCTCAGGCCTAGCAGTGGAGCCTGCATTGTTGCTCTTTAGTGGAGCCTGAGTAATGGGGTCCTGTGGCTGGCTGGGGCTGGATGTGCTGACAAGAGTAAAGGGCCTCTTCCTTGAGACTTTGCCCCTTCTGGACTGGGATAACTGGGAGAATGTGGGAGGGGGAAGAAAAGAAAAAGGGGTAGCTCCTTCTCTTTCCCTATCCTCTACCGTTGTAGTTGGGACACAGCTCTTTCCTCATGAGTTGGGCCCCTTCCTTGAATGGGGAGGGTCCCTGCCTTCTTCAATCACTAGAATCTTGCTGCCTGGTTCTTGACTGAGATATAGAGTCTCAGGGGCCCAGCGAAGCAGGATGTAGAGGTAACAGATGGCTCCATAACCAACTGGAGTTAACTCATGAGGTTGCCCCTTCAGAACTTGTGAAGGGTGGGTATGAAGACTGAGGAAGACACTGTACCCAGTTTTTAACTTGCAAGCACAGGTAGGACAGGGATATTCCAGGTCCATCAGTGGGGGCGGTTTAGGAGAGGGAGGATCTGAGTAGCCTTTGAAAGGAGGGCCTCTCTCCTCCTTCTCCTTAATGCTTCCATCTTTCAGGCATAGAAATGGAGACCACTGCCTTCTCACTGGATGTGCTTTCTGGAGCCACAAGCTGGGGGTGAACATCTGGGTCCCACAGGAGAGGGGCTGCTCAGGGGAGATAATTGTAGTGATAATGGCAATTAATGACATTTACTGAGCACCTGGGCTGTATACCTCCTGCCACACTTACCCCAATTCCAGGGCTATATAGCCCAGCTCACCTCAGTGTGGCACAGCCTTTACGTGAAAATTCAGATGGGAACAGAGCCACCAACAGAGAAGAGGGACAGGTGCATTATTTCATGAACTTCACAAAAGGATTCTCCTTGGTGGTGGTGGTGAATCTAAGAAATAGCTCCTGTGTGTGTTTATGATAATAGTCCATGTCTAAAATGTTGATTTACCTGTCTGGTTTTAAAGAACGTGTTCAGAGAACTAAGCTTTGGGGTCTACAGACGCCCTGCCCATCCGTACGCTGGAGAGGTATTTCAGGACCCTGGAGAGTGCTCTGAACAAGGAGGGTGCGTGGAATGAGGAGTTGGGTTTTTCAGAACAGGTTCATCCTGCCAAGTCATCATATGCATGGGACCTGGGCCTAGGGCCCTGGGGACATGACTTACCCAAGTAATTTAGTAAGTCAGTGGTTTCGTGTTTCCATGTGGCCTGACTGCCTGGGACCGTGTCCTTCAGAACAGAAGCAAAAGTAGGGGCAGTCCAGCTTGCCTCTCTGTGCTGAGTCTGCAAAGACACAGGTGTCACTTACTGCACTCTAAAAAGCATATGCAAATAGGAGTATTGTAAGTTGAATCCTACCCCCAGCACCCTGGGTGGCTCTGGGCTTGGGGGCAGTAGTTGGCTGTTTTGATGGGCAAGGTGGTGAATGGTTATAGTCATGACCTCTGCAACCTCACTGTTTGAAACTGAATCTTGGCTCTGCCTCTCCCAGGCTGTGCAAATTTGGGCACATTGCCTAACTTCTCCATTCTTCAGTTTCCTTATCTGTAAAAGGGGTATGATAAAGCACCTACTTTATAGGGTGTTATGAGAATTAAACATAATATATAAAGCACTGAAGGGAATGTTTGGCATGTGGTTAGTACAGTAAAATGTTATTATTTTAAAACCCAAGCATTTCTGCCTCAGGTCTGATGCATAGCCAGGTTCCACCCATGGTATCCCTGGTCTTGCTTATAGGGTCAGACTTGGAAGAGGCAAATGTTTCCTGGGCTTGTAAGCTGTTGGAGTGTCTAGGAAGCACTGGTTTGGGAACTGGGAGGACCAAGTGCCCCAGGCCAGGGGCTCTGGAACTCGGAGGGGAGGTTCGGTTCTGGCACCAGCTCTCTCCCTGCTCCTTCTTCATAGAGGTTTCAAGCATGGTCTTGAGCAGCCAGCAAGGTCTAGACTCAAATCTTGGCTCTGGGGCTTATGGGCAATGACCTTGGGCAAGTCATTATTCGACTATTAGAGACTCATCCGTGTCTGGCTATAACGACACACTTAACATGGTTATTCAGAGGATGAAATGAGAAAATGTAGGTAAAGACCAAGCACAGACGCTGTAAGGGCTTTGTAGTAGTGGCTGTCACATGGCTGTCTTCCGGATGTCTCTGTTTCATTTTGGGTCTCTGCCACTCCCCTCTCCCTCCTGACGGATGAGGTTCTTACTTCTTATGGACTTCCTGGCTTGGTTCAATCCAGAGGATGTGGGCATCTCTGGAATGAGCCCATCCAGGCCCAAACCTCAGAGGAGGCTTTTATTTTATTTTTTATTATTTTTATGTTTATTTCTGACAGAGAGAGAGACAGAGAGAGAGTGAGTGCACGCATGTGTGCGTGAATGACTGGAGGGGGAGGGGCAGAGAGAGAGAGAGAGGGAGACAGAGGATCCAAAGCAGGCTCTGCTCTGACAGCACAGAATCTGATGTGGGGCTCGAACCCACAGGTTGTGAGATCATGACCTGTGCCGAAGTTGGATGCTTAACTGACTGAGACACCCAGGCGCCCCCAGACAGAGGCTTTTAAAAGATAAGAGAGGTGCTGGTCTTTCGTGGCCCATTTCTTGTAGGCTCACCCCTTCTCTAGGCTTTGCCTTAGCAGAAATGCCCTGGATTTCTAAACAGCTCCTTTGTCCCATAGCCCTGGGCAGATACCATCCTCCACCTCCAGCTCTGCCCCATTCCAATAGCAAGTGGTGAAACATTTATCCTATTAACAGCTCAGATTTGACAAGTGTGAACTGGGTGGGTTCTAGGTCTTATCACATAGGTTGTCTCATTTATAATTAGCTTTTAATTAGCATCTACTTTGTGTTTGGCAATGTGGGAAGCACTTTACACATCTTTTCTTATTTAATCACTCAACTGCCTATAGAGGTAGCTATTATAACTAATTTTATTTTACAGGAGAGTAAACTGAATGCTGGACGGGTTCAGTGATGCTTGGGTCACAGGGAGGGGGGTCTTGAAGCTGCGGGGAAGAAGTTTGTAAAGTACTTCACAAAGTGCCCAGCATGTGGAACTGACTCAATAAAAGCTGGCCAGCCCTGTCCATCCTAAGTTCCCTCTCCAGAGCCCCTAACTGAGATGGCTCCTCTTCCTGCCCTCTATCCCATCCTGGTACCAGCTCTTCTAAGAATGCATTAGTTTGCATTTGAGCTAGGCACAATGGTGGAATTTCAGGTACTGTGAGTTGAGTAGAGGTGATGGGAGGGGGCGGGGAGGACACAGAAAATGGCCACTGACTCCACTCATGGCTAAGGCTCCTTTTGTTTTGCTCTTGTGGTCATGTCCAAGAGGGACATCCAGGGGCCCGGCTGCCGAGTCAACATGAAGTGATGTCTGGTTGTCATGAGTTCTCATTAGTGGATTATTCATTCTGTCTGGGAATTTGAACACAGCCTCATCCCCTCACTCTTCCCCTGCAGCTTCTCTGGGACTAGGGTGGGGGTAGGGCCAGGACTTCAAGGGCTTCAGATTCCCTTCTGTCACTATCACAGGGTCTGGCCTGGACTATGACCTCTCTGAGATACCCATCGGGGCCACAGAGGAGACCTGGCTTCTCAGTGTGGCTCTGCTATGGGCAACTCACCTTCGGACTCAGGGCAGGTCTTTGTCCCTCTTTGGACTTCAGTGTCTTCATCTGTAAAATGGGACGATAGGACTGGCTGTTCTCTGAGGCTTTCCCAGCCCTCTCATGCAGTAAATACCACAGAGAATCCCTCTCCCTGCTTTACCTGCCTATTAGAGAATATGTAGAAGGTGGGGACAGAGGACCTGAGGTAGAATAGGATTTGAGGAATGAAGCAGAGGGAGGAGTCTCAGTGGTTCCTAGCACTCCCGGCTTGAGCAATTGGTTGATTGGGGTGTTGTTTATTGAGAGAAGGGAGAAAAAGAGGCAAGAGTGGCTATGGGGAGGGATGATGAATTCATTTTTGGATCCATTAGACTTGAGATATTTAAGGGATGGGCCTAAGCTAAGCCAACATGGAGGCGAGATTGGATTTGAACCAGGGTTATCTGTATCAAGGCCCATGTTCTCTCTAGCACACCACCCCAGGCAGAGTGTGCGGTGCTCACTTGAGCTACTGAGGGCCAAGAAAGGGTCAGAGAGGGCTCATGTTCAGGGCAGGGCCAGCAGCTGGGAATATTAGTGGTAGGGGAAAGCAGAAGGCTTAATCAGGGGAGAGCCTCCTGGAGGAAGAAATTGAATGTTATGTTCTATAGATATCATGAGAGGGTGAGGTCCGAAGGGGAACAGGACAGAAGCATAGTCAGAAGGGTCCTTGAAGGCCATGTCCAAGAAGATGATGTGACTTGCTTGAAGTCACACAGATAGTCACAGAGCCAAGATTCCAACCAGGTGTGCCTTAATCCATGGTCTCTGTTCTTAATCCACCCCATAGGATAATGCTCTCAGGGCATGAGGCCTGGTCAGGGGAGAGGGGGGTAGCCAGGAGCTAGACAATGCAATGGACTTAGTCTCTCTCAATTCAGACTTATTTTCCCCAACCCATGTGTGGTCAAATTCCAGATGAATGAAAAGACAACAGAGTTCTGACCCCTGAAGTCAAAGAACACAAGAGCTGGGAATGTCCTAGTTTTAACACAGATCCGACTCTAGGTACAGGATTGCTCTTGAATGTAGGTGGCATGTATAACTACTTAGCACCTTTGAGCTCAGGGGCATACAGAATCTCCCTTGGCCCCCAAACTGGTCTGTCACTATGCCCAAAAGTCCATCAGTGCACCCTGACTTTGGAATAGACCTTGCCCAACCGGGCCCCGACCAAAGAGGGAGTGCGTCTTTGGCACAGTGGGCACTTACCAGCCACTTTCCTCCTGGGCAGAAGGGATGGAAGTCCCTGGAGGGGACCATTCCCCGTGGCTCAGGAGAAGACCAGTCTGACATTCAAAGGGGCTGGCTTGCCTGACAGAAGGGCAGGGAGCCGCTGGGCACAGCAAGCTGCAGCGGTGGCAGCAATGGTAAGTGCCAGCAGCTCGCAAGTGAATATGCAGTGTCAAATGGGGTGCATTACTCTCCGTGCAAATTAAAAATTAAAATTAATCAAACACTCAAATTGATTTCCTTCCCGTCTGTTTGCTCTGCTGTGCCAGTCAGATGCCTGCCTGCCTGCCTGGTCCAGTTGAGCCCAACTCCAGGCCAGGCCTGGGCAGCTCAGGCTGTTGCAGAAGTCTCTGGGATGGGCTTAGGAGCTATAGTCACCTCATTCCCACCTTGGGAAATCCAGTAGGGGTCAACCCAACCAGGTCCCCGAGCCTGAGACCTGGTGCTGGGCTTGCAATGGGGGGAAGGCAGGAAAAGAACATCACTCTAGTCTAGAGGAAACACTCACATTGGGCTGGGAGGCAGGACCCTAGGGAATATTCATGGGGCCATCATTGACTGATCTCAGTTTCCGCATCTGTGGAATGGGGAGAGAGAGACAGATGGAATAGGTGCCCCCTGGTTCTTGTGCTGGCTTATGGTCTGACTGGCCTTCCCTAGGGATGGACTCATCTCCAATCTCCAACCAGCCAGGGTCCCTGACCTCTCCACCCAGGCCTTGATCTACCTACCACTTATCATTGGGCAACCATGGGCAAGTCACTTGACATCTCTGAGCCTCCATTTTCTTCTGGGTAAAATGGGAATGATAATACCAGTGTGTGAAAGGAGAGGAGCATGCAAGTTTATTGGGATCAACACCCACGGCGGGGAGGGAGTGAGGAAACAGAGTGGGCAGAGGGAGAAGTTGGACTGTGACACCTTCACAGTGCAGATCCATGGGCATCTCTGGGCCTGAGCTGTCTGAGGGGTTGACCTGAGTTGGGGTGAGAGTGTCAGGTCTTTATCCCCAGCTTTGACCAGCTGTTGAATGCAGCTGCCTGTGGAAGGGCAAGCCCTGGGTGAGGAGCCTCTCGCTTCAGCCGAGGGGAAGCTACTCATCTGTGGCCTGCCAACCTTGACAGCCTGCCAGCAGCAGGGAGGAGTGTTTCGGCCAGAAGGCGGGTGTGGGTAGGGCATTGGGGTGCCTCCCCAACACTGCAGTCGGGGGAGGTTGGGTGAGGGTCCCCTGGAACAAGGCTGTGAACCCGGCAGGAGTCAGTGTACGATAAGCCGCAGTCATTCTGTTGAAAAGGCTTTGGGGACTCCCTCCTTTCCTTTTGCCTTCACATCCTGACACTCAACCAAGCTCTATCTTGGAGGGCTTGGTGAAAATCAGGATGTGAAGGCGAGGAAACCTTCAAAGTTCCATCATCCTTCCATGAC